GTGAAATTTGGTAGAGGAGTATCTCTCATATGGAAGTTGAAATGTACCAAATTTGGTGTTATTTTAAGACCATTTAGATATGCAAATGATGTGCCAAAGTTGTTCTTCAAACATGGAAAATTTACTAAACTGTCTTCGATTTTGGCCAACTCTGAGCTGCTATATTTTGGCACTCAAAACTCTGAATTTAGTTCTAGTTGTTGTGTTTGAAACCTTGATTGAAATTTCATTGTGATACAAATTTTAGAGGCTAGTTCACTTCCTGTGAATTTTACCGAATTTCCAAAATTTGTCGAAAAACATGATCGAAACTGTCTTGTATGCTCAAGTCAGCCACTTTAAGCTAAAATTTGAATGTCTTTCGTTTAGAATCTTGAAAAAGTCTCTTCTAGAAACTTTTAGTACTTTGAACCAAGATTCCAACGGTATAAAGTTTTCCAATTTTGGACCTATTGAGTGCAAGTTCTGATTTTTATAATTTTGGCATGTAAAACTGAAATTTTCCGACTCAATGGGAAATGAGTTTTTGGAAAACTCTTCCCTATCCTTTGATATTGATTGACCGTTTTAAATTTGATTTCATGAAGGAAATCAGTTTTTCTTGTGTTATTAAACCCCACATTTGAGTCTCGAGTTACAAGTAATTAAGGCTCTTTTTAATGATATTTTCTTAGTATTGTACAAGTGTACAATCTTCCTTGTTAACAAGGGGTTTATAAGTGATAGTGTGTGATAGTAAATTATTATTTGCTCAGGCGGTCAAGAGGACCTTCAAGAGGATCTTGAAGGGGATGCTTAAAAGTTGTTTGAGCACTTACTCCTTATTTTGATTGGTGAGTGTCAAGTGCATGATTTGTCATTATGTGAATTGTTTCCTATGGACTGAATAGTTTATGACTGTTGAGTCGAGTGTATACTTTATCGCACTTATTCTCTTTTAACTGATTGAACAACTGAATTGAACTGCTTGTAACTGAATTGTAACTGAATTGCTTGCATGTCGTTGGAGTGAATCTCCTCAACTTATAACTGAACTGCTCGCATGTTGTTGGAGTGAATCTCCTCGACCTATAATTGAACTGAATTGGGGGACGCCCAAATCTCAATTGGCCGACCTTGCGACTCGAGCCAGCAAGGGCTTGGTTGAGGAGCTTGGTGAACCATGAGATAACTGTAAGCTTGATCTATTGAGAGATCTTGCTTGGCCTACTCGCGTAGTAGTGCCTTTTATAGAAGTTCAGGCCCGATACGGTGTATGGTGGATTGAATTGACATGTAAGTGGAGTTCTACAGACTTAAATGTCAACCCGGTTGACGGAGTGTCATCACGGGAAGGTTTTTTTTTATCGAGGCTTGGCAAAGCTAGTGGAACTTAGCTCCTGAGAGCTCCTGTATCGTCATTGAATGTGTTTATTTGAAAATTGTGAATTATTTGAATGTTACAGTTTTAATTCTTGCTTAAATGCCATTGCTACTTGAGCTATGTGTTTTGCATGTTTTCTTGGCCTCATGAGTATCCGCTCATCCCGTTAGATTTGTTTTCCTTAACAGGATCTGAAATGAAAAGAATTATGGAGAAACCTACTTGAAGGCTCTTTTGGCTAGAATTTTGGAATGTATTTGTCTAGACATCTTTTGGGAAGTTGTATATTTTGGAAAGTGGATGTATTTTGAACTTGTGATGTAAGATTGAATATTTATGTATGGAAGCGACTTCTCTTTCTTACTTCGTCTTGTCTTATTAGTTATTGAACAAAAAGAAGAACTGAATTGTTCTGTCATATCTTTTGTTCTGGACTCTGTACAACATTTATACAAATGGAATTTGACTTTGTCAATTCCATGAAATCTGTAATTTCCTAAAAATTAGGAGCTAATTTATTCTATCCTAAAATACATTAGGAGTAAATTATTCTATCCTAAAATAGAGCAGAAATCATGGGATATAGCAGAAATCATGGGATATAGCAGAGATCATGGGATATACATAGAAAAAGATATTCTAGATTTTCAACACTCCCCCTCAAGATGGTGAATAGATATTTTCCATTCCCATCTTGCATGTAATGTCTTCAAAGTTGGAAGTTGGCATTCCCTTAGTTAAGACATCTGCCAATTGATTATTTGATGCTACATATGGAGTGCAAATCATGCCACTGTCCAGCTTTTCTTTAATAAAATGTCTATCAACTTCGATGTGCTTTGTGCGATCATGTTGCACTGGATTGTGTGCAATGTTGATGGCAGACTTGTTGTCGCAATAGAGTTTCATAGGTCCTTCCCACTTGATTTTAAGATCATCAAGTATTATTTTGAGCCATAGCAATTCACAAACTCCATGAGCCATAGCTCTAAACTCTGCTTCCGCACTTGATCTTGCAACAACCGATTGCTTCTTACTCCTCCATGTCACTAGGTTCCCACCAAGAAATGTACAATATCCTGAAGTTGATCTACGATCTACAACAGAACCTGCATAATCAGCATCAATATATGTCTCTATGAGCAATCCTTCATTTTTCTTGAACAAAATTCCTCTACCCGGTGTCCCTTTGAGGTAGGATATAATTCTATTGACGGCCTGCAAGTGTTTCTCTCTTGGATCATGCATAAATTGGCTTACTACACTTACAGCAAATGCTATGTCTGGCCTTGTATGGGACAAGTATATCAGTTTCCCAACCAACCGCTGATATCTTCCCTTATCTACTGTGCTATCATCCTTCTCTTCATTCAATCTCAAGTTAGGCTCAATGGGTGTGCTTGCTGCCTTGCATCCAAGATTGCCTGTTTCTTTAAGCAAGTCTAAGACATACTTTTGTTGGGAAACAAAGATGCCTTTACTTGAGTATGCCACCTCAATGCCTAAAAAATACTTCAGCCTCCCTAGTTCTTTAATTTCAAACTCCTTTGCTAAGCACTTTTTGAGTGTTTCTCTTTCAATTGGATCATTCCCGGTGATGATGATGTCATCTACATATACAAGTAGAGCTGTAACACCTCCTTTTGAATATTTTATGAACAAAGTATGATCTCCTTGACTTTGTTTGTATTGCATTGCTAGCATCACTTTAGTAAATCTTCCGAACCAAGCCCTTGGCGATTGTTTTAATCCATATAAAGCTTTCTTTAACCTGGACACTTTCTTATCAAAAAACATTTCATTGAAACCCGGTGGGGGTTCCATGTACACCTCTTCTTCTAAATCCCCAGGTAAGAATGCATTCTTAACATCAAATTGCTGTAAACACCAACCAAAGTTAGCGGCTAAAGACAAAAGAACACGCACAGTATTCATTTTTGCAACGGGTGCAAAGGTCTCTTGGTAATCTATCCCATATGTCTGTGTATATGTTTTTGCAACCAACCGAGCTTTATGCCTTTCTAATGAACCATCAGCTCTATATTTCAAAGTAAACACCCATTTACACCCCACTGTTTTCTTTCCTTTGGGCAGGTTTACAATTTTCCAAGTCTTATTTCTCTCTAGGGCATTCATTTCCTCTTTCATAGCATGTAACCAGTTCTTATTTCTAAGTGCCTCTTGTAGTGTTTGTGGGATTGAAATGGAGTTGATGGTGGTAAGGAAAGTTTTATGTTGTGGAGAGAGTCTATGGAAAGACACGAAATTTGAGATTGGATGCTTAGTGCATTCTCGTGTTCCTTTTCGAACAGCAATAGGCAGGTCTAAATCATTAAATTCACAAGGAGCAGAGTCAGATTGAACACACAAAGGAACAGAATTTTCAGTACCTGATTGTGGTTCAGATTCTTGGATTTGCACAGGTTCAGAAATATGAACTTTCTTCCTTGAGCAGACCTTGAGTGGTGTAGTTGGATTTAAACCAGATTTTCCCTCAGCTCCAAGATCAGGGTCAATTTCTTTACTGGCATGTTCAACTTCAAATTCAGGTTCAGGTCCACTGCTAGTATGTTCTCCTTTAGAATTTGGTGTATGGTCAGGCTTGAAAGACTTTAAGTTTAGTGTAGGATTTTGAAGATCAAGGAGAAATTCCTTATCTTCCCAAGAACTCTCCCCCTGGGGATGAGGATTGTTACTTTGAGAGTAAGGTTCATTTTCAACAAATGTGACATCCATGGAGGTAAAATTTTTTTTTGAAGGAGGATGATAACACTTATATCCTTTCTTTGTGTTTGAGTATCCCACAAAAATACATTTTAAAGCTCTTGGATCAAGTTTCCCTCTTTGGTGTGCATGAACATGTACAAAAGCAACACAACCAAACACTTTTGGTGACAATGTGCAAGAGACATTAAAATCAGGGTAAAAAACAGAAAAAGCAGCAATGGGACTTTGATTATTTAGTACTTTTGAAGGTACTCTATTTATCAAATGTGCAGCAGTTAAAACAGCCTCCCCCCAAAAAGTTTTTGGAACTTTATGTTGAAACAAAATTGCTTGAGTCACATTGAGTAAATGTCTATTTTTTCGTTCAGCAATCCCATTTTTTTGGGGTGTATCTACACAAGATGACTCATGTATTATACCCTTTTTTTGGAAAAAAGATGAGAGAATTTGATTAAAATAGTCTCTTGCATTATCAGATCTTACTCTTTTAATCAAACTTCCAAATTGTGTACAAATCATTTTATGAAACATTGGAAAAATACTGCTTACTTCTGATTTTTCTTTCATAAGAAATAACCAAGTAGTTCTAGTATAATCATCAATGAATGTGACAAACCATTTTGCTTCAGAAATACTAGAAATTCTACAAGGCCCCCAAATATCAGTATGTATCAAAGAGAAAGGTCTAGTAGATCTTGTATTACTCAATGGAAATGATAGTCTATGATGCTTAGCAATTTCACATGTATCACAATGAAAACTACTAACATCTTCATTCTTGAAAAGTGAAGGAAACATGCTTTTAAGTAGAATAAACGATGGATGACCAAGACGGAAATGATGAAGCCAAATTTCAGATTTATTATTTGAGGAGCAGGTGAGGGATAACTGATTTTTGTTCTCCTTGTTACCACTCATCTCCTCAAGGTAATAAAGCCCATCATTCACCTTAGCAAGTCCAATCGTCCTCCCCGTAACCAAATCCTGAAAAACACAGTGAGTAGAATAGAAAATTACTCTACAGTTCAGATCTTTGGTAATTTGATGGATGGATATGAGATTGAAGGACAATTTTGGGACATGCAACACATTATTTAGGGACAAAGAATTTGATAGATTTACTGTCCCTTGGCCTGCAACAGTTATAGGAGATCCATCCGCAACAGTAATTTTTCTATTTCCAGGACATGGGTTGTATGTTCTAAATCTGATTGGGCTGTGAGTCATATGGTCAGTAGCTCCTGAGTCGATGACCCAAGAGCCTAGAGAAGACATGCTTGAGGCACTTAAAGCATAAGAGTTAAGGTACTTACCTGATTGAGCCAATGAACACGTACTAGAGGACTTTTCAAGGGAATTTAGGAGGTTTCTTAGCTTTTCGATTTCTTCTTTCTTGAATTCTCCCATACCAGCCTGGTTGGATTTTTCTTGTGTTTGGTCTTCTCCAGCAGTTAAGTGGACTTTTCCCCCTTTGAATCCTCCTTTACGACTAAGGACTTGTTCCTTCCCATGGAGTTTGAAGCAATCATCTCGCGTATGGCGTGATTTTTTGCAGTACGTGCACCAAATTGTGTCTTTATTTGACTTTGTAGAAATCATTGCTGAGCCTTCTAATGTTTTAGGCTCTAACATGACTTCTCGCCTATTCTCTTCAGCTCGAATCAATGATATTGTCTCATTCAGAGATGATAATCTTTCCTTCCCCAATATCTGGATTCTGACCTGATCAAATTCCACATTCAGACCTGCAAGGAAGTCATAAACTCTATCCTTTTCGATAAAGTTTTTCAAGGTGGCTGCATCTTCACTACACACCATCTGAACACACCGATATTGGTCCAGTTCCTGCCATAGATTTTACAGAAGGTTGGCATATTGAGTAACAGAAAGGTTGCCCTGTTTAGTGGCTGATATCTTTGTTTTGATCTCATAGATTAGGGCAGCATCTCCTGCCTTTGAATAGGTCTGTCGAATAGTAGTCCATATATCTTGAGCTGTTGGTAGGAACATGCAAGTATCACTTATTTCAGGTAACATGGAGTTCCACAGCCATGACATGACCATAGAATCCTCTTCATCCCAAGCAGCGAATTTAGGATCTCCCTTTTTCGGTCCAGTTCCAAGCAAGTGGCTGATTTTGACCTTTCCTTTGAGAAATGTTTGAACAAATTGTGACCACTTCAAATAGTTTTTCCCGTTGAGCCTGTAGGCTGCCTGGATACTCTGCAAATCCCCTGTTTGTGGAATATTTGAGGTCTCTTCTGATTTGGTATTGGAGTGGATTTCTGATGTTTCAGTTTCAGACATGGTGGAGGTTTCAAAGAAAAATTGGCAATGAAGGCCTAATGAAAAAAAAATCAGCAATGAAGGCTGGAAATTGCACTTGGCAATAAAGACTTGAAAAGAGGAAAGCACTCAGCAATGAAAGCTGACAAGAAGAGGTCCCAAGAGCAAAAGCTCTGATACCATGAACAAAAAGAAGAACTGAATTGTTCTGTCATATCTTTTGTTCTGGACTCTGTACAACATTTATACAAATGGAATTTGACTTTGTCAATTCCATGAAATCTGTAATTTCCTAAAAATTAGGAGCTAATTTATTCTATCCTAAAATACATCAGGAGTAAATTATTCTATCCTAAAATAGAGCAGAAATCATGGGATATAGCAGAAATCATGGGATATACATAGAAAAAGATATTCTAGATTTTCAACAGTTATTATTGGTACTAAACTTGAACTGGAATTGTATTGAGTCCTGGCAAGAGATGGGCTGGCGTCCCGCAGATACCCTTGGATTCGCCTTAGGGAGAAGTGGGGGCGTCACAAATTGTATAAGGAGAGATCACCTTTTACTTACCCCAAGCACACTTTGGTTAAGCCAAAAGGTTCTACTACAAGTTTTGTAAACCCTCACTAAGCTACTCACTTGAGTACTCACTCAGAATTGAAAAGCTACAATCTTCACCTCACACTAAGCTACAAGGGTTAGAAATATGCACCAATTCTTGCTATGAATTTTGTGAGGACTTGAAAATTTGATTATAGTTTCTTATAATCCTCTTTTATTTTGAATAAGTTAATTTATAATTCCTTTTACTACTAATTTACTCCCTCAATAGTTGTAATAAATAATCGAATCGAGAGTTTTACTTTTACTTTTATAGTTAAAGTAATCGAATCGAGAGTTTTACTTTTACTTTTATAGTTAAAGTAAGTTGGGATTTTTATGCATTTTGGTAGTGTGATCAGTTGATGAGGTGTGTGTACTAAAATTGGAGGATAAGAGTGAGTATTAAGCAAAAGGAAGTGTGTGATTAGAAGTGCTAAGAATAAGTTAGTGGATCATACGTTAAAACAAAAGTACAAGAGAATTCAGAAAGTAGGCTTGGACCGACGTGCGCCGTTTGTTGCCAGTTGAGTACACTACTTGACCAATACATTCTTACCCTAATCTACTTGATTTAATTTCATTTAATCCTCCCTAAATTAACCCTAAAGCCAGCCAAAATTATTGACCAAAAAAGGAAAGAAAAGAAAAAAAAGAGGAAAAACTTGGTCTTGCCAAGTGTCAATGATCCAAGACAAGTTTGACCAAGACAACTTTCTTCCTTCTTATCTTTCTTTTGGACCAATTTTGCTTCATTTCTTTCTTTTCTTGGCTGAACCTTAGGAGAGGAAAAGAGAGGTGAAAAACTTCCATTTCCACCTTGATTCTTGCCTTGTTTAAGTTAGAATCACAAAACTAAACCGAACAAACTAGCACTAAGGAAGCAAGGAAGCTTGTAACGGAGAGTTTTTGGAGAAGAAGCCTTGGTTCTTCACTTTCTTCAAGGGGTTGAAGGTATAAGATGAACAACTTCTTTTCTCTTTCTTATTCTTGCAAGTTACGGTGAAAATGACTTGAAACTTGGAATTTTATGGATGATAATCTAGATTTGGCCAAGATTGGTGAAATTTCAGCCTAGGGTTATGATTTTTCAGCCTTGATTTATGTTATTTATCCATAATATGTTGGTATTGAACTTGGCTATGGACTTGTGAGGTAATTGGTAGCTTTATTGTGACTTTTGAGCTTTAAAATAGGCAATTTCAGCTTTATTAGAGATTTTTCAGCTTTGCTATTGTGATGTATATATGCTAGAAGTGAGGTTTAATTGGATGGTTTTATGGCTAGTATGAGAACCGAATTTATCTTATAACTTGTGGTGTTGATTTGGGTTGATTTGAGATGGAAATGTGGCCTTGAAAATGGCCAGAAAATTAGGAAAAAACAAAGGAAGTGCTATCCATTTTATTTCTTGAAGTTCAAGCGAGTGAAATCGGAATTTGAGTGGTGATTCTTAATTGAATTGAACATAGGATTGTTTAGGGTATTTGAGTTTCCCTTAGTAGGGACGTATAAGATGAAATTTTTACCAAAACCTAAATATTTTATAAGGAGAAAGTAACGACTATTTTAAACACGATTTCCTAGTTTCTTATACCAAGTTGTGAACTTAAAAGTTTTAAATGCTTCTTTATCGAAACCAAAAGAGCGAGCATGAATTTTCTAGAGTTTGATAAGTAAAATGAGTAATACTTAAAGTAGTTCTATTTACTTGGTTTTCTTGAAGCGAAACTCTTATATTTTGAAACCCTAATTGATTACAAACTATTAAACAGTATTTTATCACAGATTTGGACTCCAGCCAGGGAGTTGAACCTAAGCTTGATTTTGGAAAGCAATAAATCATTGGTGAGTGTTTCCAAGTGCATGTTTGAACTTATTACTTGAATGAATTGCTTTGTTAATGTGATTAGATGGTACTTAACCTGTTTGATAGGATAAGGGTGTACTTTATCGCACTTGCCCTAATGTGACTTATTACTGTGCACTGGTTACAATTGGCTTGATGTATATGTGTATGACTTGGATACTGTTTGGAATTTCAAAAATCCTGTGGCTAGTTAATCGAGTCAATTCCACAAGGGTCTGGTCGATAAGATAACGAACCCTAGGTCTACTGCTTTGTCGAGTGGAGTGTTATCTTCTCGATTAATTGGTATGCTCGAGTATTACTACCACTGTTATATTGGAGTTTAGGCCCGATATGGGGTTTGAATGATGGATGGAGATTGGAGTTAAGTGGTGCACTACTGAACTGGTTACTCTACTTTAAAGTTGACAGAGTGTCAACTACTACTTGGTGAAGCTATGGCGGACTTAACTTGCAAGAGCTACCGTATCGTTTTATCTGGAAATGTTGGATATCTAATGATTAGCTATTTGAAGTGTTATTGCTCATTTTTATGAACTCTTATACTCGCTACTTTGATATTTCAAGTTTTATACAATGATCTATTCGCTACTTGGGTTTGCATGAAGTTTTGGAATCTCACAACGCTTTGGCTCACCCTATTAGTTTTTGTTTTCCTTACAGGGGGTACGAGTGTGGGCGTGAGGCTGGTACAGGTTGGCGTCGTCTAGTTTTGACTTTTGTGATTGTACTTGCGCTAGTGCTCGTTTAGGGTTGAAAGTTATCTGGAACTTAAATCTTTTGTTGTATTTGGGAATGTATGAACCTTTGAGATAGATTTGAGCATAAATGTACATTCTAAGTTTGGAACTGTTGTTTCATTTTCTTTTGAAGTTATAACCTGTTTTCTTGAAGTGAGTGAGTGAGTTCTAACGAGAGTTGGGCAGGCGGTCCGCTAAATCCTGGGGTAAGCCCTAGGGAGAGGTAGGGTCGTCACAAGTGGTACCAGAGTTTAGGTTTGAATTTGTCTGGGTGAATTGAGTGACTCGTACTTGATATGACTTACGTATAAATGTCTAAATGTGAAACCCTAGAGAATATGTGGTTAATTTAGGTTTACTTGTTTAAATTGCTTATGCTTGTAATGTTACTTGTACTGTAGGCAATGGAAGGAAATGGCGAGAACGGGAGTGCCGAACAACCTCGGCGAGTGCTTAGCTATCAGGAGCGTCTCAAAGGGCCAGTATTTCTGTGGGCTCCAGGGCATAGGGTCCGACACTGTGATTGTTGGTAGATCTATTCCTACTCCCATAGGGTGGTCCTTGCCATAGCAGATGAGAGAGGAAGGTTGGCTAGTGCCAATCGTCGAGGCTACACGGAGATTGAGCGTTTGCAAGCTGTGCTAAGAATGCAAGAGGATAGGATCTGAGAGTTTAAGGCTTCTATTCTCAAGGAGCAGGAGCAAACCAATGCCTTTCGAGAGCAAGTTCAGGAGGCTAATGGTCGCCTTGTTCGAATAGTAAGGGAAGTAAGGAACCGAACCGATAATATCTTAACCGAATGTGGGGCACTTGTGGATGAAGTAGTATAGGTGAATTTGGTCAGGGAAGGTCAAGAGAACGTAGCTCCTAGTGATCCTGAGGAGGACCCTAAGAAGGAGCCAGTTGTACTCGAGGAAGAGGCGAAATCGGTTGAGTCGGTGACTAACTAAGTTAGGGATTTAGGGTTTTGAGGGTTGAGCGAGATAGTTAGGACATAGTAGGAAATATTTGGGATGACACGTCATCTTTTGTTTTGTTTTTGATATTGACGTGTTAAGGTTGATATACATAGTGCCTGATTTTATTCTACATCCTTTGGTTGTTGTAAGTTCTTGACTTTACTAGGTTGGCATGTACAGTACTTTATGACTTAGTATGCGACTTGTTATGATATGTATATAAAGAGAGTGTTTTATTTAAATGTGTTCTATTGTTTTCACTCTATGATTTGGAACTGTTTTTATTGAACTTTATAGCTATTTTATTTTGCTTATACCTATATAGTCTATTTTTCAAAAGAGGCATGGAAGGTAGGCGAAATCAGGGATGTGGGACTAGTCGAGAACGTGG